TTTAACTGTGTTCCGGCTAAAACATCAATCACCGTTCCAGAGAGGTGGTATTGCCACTCAATAAACAACTAAAATAAAAAAAACTAAAAATTTATAAATAACCAGGTTTGAATACTTTGGAGTTGATTGTGGAGCAGTCCAATTTATATTCAAACCAGTCTGGAAAGACTTTAGACCTAACGTTGGAAGAATTAAAAGCTTTTTTGGGAATACTTGTAATAATGGGCATTCATAAATTACCGAGTCTTGCATATAAACAATAACGAAACGATGCCTAAGAGAGGAGAGCCTAATTTTGATAAACTTTACAGAATTAGGCCTCTAAACGATAACGTAAACAAAAATTTTAAAAGTTTATTTACGCCTTACCGACATATAGCTGTCGATGAAAGTATGGTTGCTTTCAAGAGCAGAACAACAGATTTATCAAGGAAAAACAGGTACAATGCCAGAGCCTCACCTGGGAGGGAGGGTTGTTTTACAACTAAGTGAGCCTTACTGGTACATGATAAAAAATATTTAACAGCGCAACCCATGGGAATGAAAAGACGGGGTAGACCGAAGCTGAGGGTGGATGGATGGGGTAACACAAGATGCGGAGAAGATCGGAGTCGGCAACTGGAAAATGCATGCAAGGGATAGAACAGAATGGCGTAGAAAGCTTGAGAAGGTCGAGGACCTCTAAGGGCTATAGAACCAAGATGATGATGATGATGATGACCCTTACTGGTATAAGGGATACTGTGTTTATTTTGACAACTATTTTTGCTCATTTGATTTATTATAAGGTTTATTAGAGAGGAAAACTTTTGGTTGTGGAACTTTCAGGGTTGATAGAAAATATTATTCGAAAACAATACTGAAAACAGCCAAGATGATGAAGGTAGGGGATTCAGATTTTGCTCAATCAGGGGAAGATACTACATGTCGACGTTTCGTATATTGTCAAAAGAAAGCGAAAAGAAGTCAAATTGTTTGTCGTAGATGTGAAGTGGCTCTCTATTTAGAATGCTTTGCACCGTTTCATGAAACATAAGAAAATGTTTGATATACTGATTTTTTTAAGAAATAAATACTTTTGTTCATTACTTTTTGTTCTTATTTTGAAAAACAGAAGTGGTCGATATTTTTGTTTAGGATTCAAGCACAGAGTATATTGTCCTTGACGTGCGCTGGTCGAAAAATCGACCACCCTTTCCATCTCAAAGTTCAAAGTTAAAAAGTTAAAAATAAAATAAAAATAGTTCTGCGCCTAAATGGTTAACAATTATATAATAATTATTGTAGCCGAGCAGTAAAATTAAAATATGCTCTAGGTTCTCCTTACTGGCGGGTAATATATCACTGAGATTATTAAGCCGTGAGGTCCCTACTTCGACAAGGTTCTACTTTAACACAAATCTTTTTTTGTAATATAAATTAGTTGGAGAATTAATTAATTAATTTCGATTTCTAATAACATGCTCAATGTATTAAAATTTACGGTTTTTATCGGATATAAAATTTCCAGTTTTTTTTGCATATATATATATATATATATATATATATATATATATATATATATATATATATATATATATATATATATATATATATACACTCACCAGCACGAAAAACGGAACACTTGCATTTTTAAAATAAAAACTTAAAAATTTAATTCTCTTTAAACTTTTATTATTATAATAACGTAAACACAAACAAAACAAACTGTTTTAAGTAATTTCTAATAAAAATTTAACTTTTGAACAAAGAACTGTTTCAGTATATATATATATATATATATATATATATAATCGAAAACCTCTCTACCCTAAGGTGTGAGGTAAATACAATACAATACAATTACAGGTTACAGATATACATTACATCTCAAATCCAATGAAAATATTTATTCTATTAAATTTATTCTATTCTGTGCACGAATTTTGTCCATTCTTTCTTGTTTTTTGCCTTATTTTGAGCTTCTGACCATTCCAATCCCCTACTTTTCAAAATCTGCCCTACTTCGTCATCCCAGGTTTTCCGTGGTCTGCCTCTAATTTTAAACCTTTTCACTTTAGCCTTCCAGACTTGCTTAACGGGTCGGTTGTCACTCATTCTGCACAAATGACCAAACCATTTTATTTGTTGTGTTTCAATAGCATGTAGTACTGATTCTGTGCCCAGTTCTTCTCTAACATCTTCATTTCTTATTTTGTCTCGTCGTGTTATTCCTTTGACTCGTCTTAGATATTTCATATCAATGGCTTGTATCTTGCTTTTTAATTGCTTTATTAAAACCCAGCTCTCGCTTCCATATATCAAGATTGGTCGGAATACTGTCTTATAAACTGTCATTTTGGTTCTTCTGCTGATTTCCGGTTTACCTATGAATGCTCTACTAAGATTATGGTACACTTTTGAAGCACTACTGATTCTTTCTGTTATTTCATTCTGCATGGTACCTTCTCTGTCTATTGTAACCCCTAGGTATTTGAATGCATCTACTTGTTCTATGAGTTGTTGGTTAATTTCTATGTTAACATATCGGTTAGTTTTCGCTATTAGCATTACCTTGGTTTTCTTAACATTAATCTTCATGTTTCTGATTGCCAGCTCATTATTCCAGGTATCTATATTTTTCTGGAGGTCCCTTTCGTTGGAAGCGCATAACATGAGGTCATCTGCGAATGCACACTCAGCTATACCAACCGGTCGTAGTTTACTATATCCGATATGTACTTTGTGTATACTTGCTTTTGTTTCCTTAATTATGTCGTCAATAATCAATATGAATAGTGTGGGGCTCATAACACCTCCTTGTCTTAGACCCTGGTTTATTGCAAACATCTCTGATTCCAAGTTATCCTTACGTACATGTTTCAGTAGATAACATTTTAAAAATTAAGGGAGAAACGTAAGTAAATGTTATACCAAAATGACGTTCAATTAATGAAAACTTAAGTCATGTGTCCAGACAAACTGATTTTAATAATGAATGTTTCCTTCAAGTGCTCGAATTATTGCCTGACTTCTCCTTGGCATGCTTAAAATCAAATGAGAAATGTCCCGTTGAGGAATAAGTTCCCCTTCCTCTCAAAGGTCTTCTTGTAACTGATTTAAGATGAAAGGGGCAGGAACACGGCTTCGTATGCTTCGCCCAAGCATGCCCATGTTCGATTGGGTTTACGTCTGGACACAATGCTGGCCAATCCATTACAGGAATGTTTACTTCAGTTAAAAACTGTTAAGTGATTCTCGCACTGTGAGGCTTGGCATTATCATGCATCAGAACAAAGTAATTTACAACAAAACCAGCATAAGGCACAACAAAATCTTGGAGAATTTTATCAATGTGCAAGCAGCTGTTATGAGGCCTCTCGGAACGATGTATAATCCGACAAGCGAGAGCTGGCGGGTGAGCTGCGCGATAATAAAAAAGGAATTATTCTAAGAGAGATAGGAGAGGTACTTAATCGCGATTATAGGTATATAGTATAGGTACTTAAACAGTTATAAACGGTGTGGAACTCCTAGCCGACTGCAATAGAAATGAGCAATCCCTTCTACTTGTCAATTTGTTCTACACGCAATCCGCCAGCTCTCGCTTGTCGGGTTATACAATTCTGTACGTGCCTCTAAAGAAATTGAGGCACGTACGTGAATGACAGAAGGTACATTCTGCAAAACGCTCGTATGGTCTTTCGCAATACTCTCTCATGGCTATCTGGAGACCGCAAGGTGAACCTGGACTAATAGGTAAAAAAACGTGCCTCCAATTATTTACAGTAAAATGAGCATGGTTTCTGGTAAACTAAATCCGCGCAACTCGATAGCTCCTGAGAAGTTATAGGCCTGTTGCAGGTCTGCAACTGCTTAAATTTGCTTCTCCAAGCCTTCGTCTAATTGTTCGTTCATTTACGTTAGAATTACGGACGTACTGAAGTTAATTTCGGATCTGTATAGCCGTGGAAAGACGATCTCGTAGACTTTGTAAGAGGATGAAGCGATCATCACGGCCAATAGTTCTTCGTTTGGGACCATTTACACACACCAAATTTACACTAAGAAATTACAAATTAAATAAACACTTCTACTTGAAACCTACACCCGAATGTTTATTTATAAATGACAACGAAAATACTGTCCACTGGTATGTGCAATGTCATCATATACACAGAAAGATAAGGTGATCTACAAATAGATCACTGGGTGTTAATGGGTTAAAATACTCTTTCCTAGCTCATACCAACCCAAAAGTGTTCGCCAGTGACAACGTTTATATCGAGGAGCATACGAAGCTTCATTTATATGGACCACTATTTTGTCCAGATAGTTCTTGAGGATTACTGCTATTTTGATCTCAATTTTTGTTAAGTTCCACTACTACAATTTTTTGTTACAAGAAGTACTTTGAAGTATTTTTTACAGACACAGTTCGCCTGGTAGACTGTGTCATATACGTTTTCTCTCGACAAATACATGAAGGTTTCCGTGATATGACGACATTGCTCATGTCAACACCCTACTACTTCTCATGTTCCTGAGCTTCCTTTTTTAACTCCAGAGTTAAGTATTGTCAAGATACCTCAAGTTTCTCGGAGTTTTTTGCAAAAGAACTCAAATCGTCTTCTAAAATTGGTTTCTGCTTCGGCGTTAGGGGGATTGATAGCTTTTCCTTAATTTGCTAGACTTTCTTTTTGGAATCAGTTTTGGTAGGTTTTGCGTCTATCTTAGATGCCTGCATTTAATTTTATTTTTTATTAACTTGGTTCATTCTTATTATACGAGTGCGGAAGAATAAGAGTCCTTACCTACAGAGCTCTCAATCTAATAAATACTTTTACGAAAAAACATATGTTCTGTTACCTACATTAAATTTATTCACATTCTACATTAAGATTCACTTATAGTCTATTTTGTTTTTAGTTATGGATGACGAATCTAAAAGACCATCGAGGATGCAGCAAAATTTAAATTCTGAATTAATATTGTCAAAGGAGCAGTTATATGATATGTTTCAGCAAATTTTGGGTGTTAAAAAATTCGAACACCAGCTGCTCTTTAATGCTTTACTAGTAAGTATCAGTTGTACCGTGTATTTTTAAGGTAAGTTTTCTTCGGAACACTTTTCCGGTAATACCTGAACGAGGATGGCTCAACGATAATTGTAGGCATATAACTATTTGTTTTTATTGCCTATTAAGCCGTCCTCTTCTAAGCAATTATTACTCGTTAGCGATGATTATCTGCCTAGAAAATTTGTTAACGGGTGGGGTGAATAAAATCGTCAGTTGCCAACGATTATTCTGAGAGATAACACTATTTCTATGACCCTCTGTTTTCTGAAAAAGAAGAAGAATGTTGATACACGAGCAAAGAACAAGTGCAAAAAGTTATAGCGTATGCGCAGACGCTACGTTGCTACATCGGCTGTCTAATGACAACCAAGGCGTTGCCCGCTGTGCCCAAGTGGTGATGGGGGATTGGGCGAGACTTCTCTTAAATTGAATAGATTTTAACTGGGCAAATATACGCACCCACAGCAGACAATTCAGAAAAAGTAATAGAGGCTTTTTATTATAATTTAAGGAAAGTCCTAAGTAAGTTAAAAACCAATGAAGTAACGCTAGTTATGGGTGACTTTAATGCCAAAATCTGTAAGGGTAGTTATGGTGAAGTAGTAAGTTCATGGGGTCTGGGTGAGCGAAATGAGAGAGGAGAACGCTTACTCACATTTGCTACGGACGAAGAGTTGGTAACCACCAATACACTCTTCAAATTACCATACAGAAGGTTGTACACATGGTGACACGCCAGAAAATCTCATAAGAAACCAGATTGACCATATTTTATAAATAAAAGATTTAAAAACTCAATAAAATTAGTGAAAACCTACCCTGGTGCAGATATTAAGTCAGACCATAACCCACTTTTCGCTAAGTTTCGTATGAAATTTAAAAAAATCCACAAACCTAATCTTATCAGATACGATCTCAAACAACTAAGAGATGATGACATAAACCAAGTAGTACGGGAATATCTGAAGAGCAGCTGTAAGTCAGAAAATAAACCAATTAGAAAACACCGGGGATTATATGTTGGAATTAGTAATAGCATTGGCGATTAGAAATTATTGAGGGAGTCAGAAAGGAAGACCAAAAAAGACGCTTAGGTAGGAAAAGTTTGTGGAGTGAGAAGCCGATACCGCATAGGTATAAAAGGAAACCAGAATGATGATTCTGTAATATAAATGGCGATATATTTTATCTTATATCTCCCGAAACAATAAAAATGTAAATAATTGTTTTCATTTACGCACTAAACTCATTTTACTTTCACAAAAGCACAACAAGTGAACAAATATAAACAATCAATAAATAAAAAAAGTAAACATATGACTAGAAGATTATAATCGTGCACGTATCCATTCAATTGTTTCCGCTCCGAACAAAATGGTACGATCATCATTATCATTACAGTTCCGAGAAAAGCTTACCTTTATTATTAACATAGGGTAAGTCCAGGAGAGTTGGACCACATTTCTTTGGACTCACTAAAATTATATTTGTCAATTTTCAATAACTGTCAATTAACATTATTATTTAAGCGTTTGGTAAATAATTTAGTTTTTTCCCTCAAGAGTTTACTTTCTATAATTGAATATTATTAATAAAGGCTACATTGCATTTTTTCCAAAACTTTGCAAGGTCTATCTCATCCGGACGTGTCTTTGTGAGATTGACCAGTAGCTTGGGAGAGATGGACCAGGGGTAAAAAGTAGGATCAATGACTACAAACCAAGTATAAAGTAAAAAATATGTATATTTTACATAATAATAAATGTTACAATAAGCAAATAAAAAAACAAACAAGTCTATTTTTTTGCTTTCTTGACCACAATCTTCCAATTAATGGGAAACTTCCCTTTTTGTGACATTATCTTCCTGGTACCGCAAATGTCACATTTTACTTCAAATCTAGAGCAACCTTCATGAAACCACCGAGAACACTCTACACACTTCACCCAGTCTTCTTTTTTTGTAGTTTCATTGTAAGCCTCTCCACATCCCACATATTCATCTTCATCCCATTCTTCTACTAACATACCGTCATTTTGGACTAGATCTGCAGAATCATAGCTTTCTGAGTCTGAACTTTCAAACTCTGTCACTTTGCCAAATGTTTCCTTTTTTTGGTTGAGAACCTTCTTTTTTGATTCAATTTTTTTTGTCAGTTGATCTTGTTTCTTTTTCTTTTTTTTGTTTATCTTTCATTGCTTGCTCAACTGCCTTTCTTTTTACAACAGCAATATCCTGAGCTGAATTTAATACTTTTGAAACAGTACCAGTTCTTGGTACTGTACAGGGGACAGAAGAATCAACAGTGCCACTTATTGGCATACTAGTTACAGCATTGACGTGTTGCCCGATAAGTTCTGCATTGGAGGCAACAGGAGCAACCTCGCTTGATGCACTATGCGAGAGTGTGCGCCAATACTTGGACAATGGGCACTGCACTGGAAGAATCGGGCTCTAGGTAGGCGTAGGCTGGCATTACAGACATATCTAGAGGGACTATGCAACAAGCTTAAAATCCACTCACGCCGTTTTGTACACCTGCAGCTTTGGTCCATGCAGAGTTGAGAAGTTTTCCAAACTGCAGACGATTGATCTTTCTAGATGGATTGTTTGTAATGAAATAATTACAAGCACCATAAAAGTAGGACTTAAGTGATTTGAAAAAGGATCGGTCAAAGATTGTAGACAGTGCGAAGTATGGGGTGGAGTGGTCATCAAAATAATTCCTTCTTGCTCTGTGTACACTAGGACTTCCAAGGAACTGGTGTGTGAAGTGAGAGAAGTACTTTCCCGGCTGGTTTTCTAGGTTGGAAATGACTTTTTAACCAGTGCAGAAAAATTTCACTAGTGACATAAGATTTTTGTGATATTTTTACAACTGAGCCAGGAGGCATGCAGTCCATGAACTCAACTTTCAAGTTCTTGCCCTTCATTATGCAGAATGGGGAAAGAAATGTACGTTCAGCGCTAGCACAAGCTAGAACAGTAACGGTTTCACCCTTTTTCGCTAACGTAATGGAAGTTAAATTTTTGGAACCTTTAATGGCAACAATACTTCCTGGCTTGTTGTTCACTTGAAGTCCGGTTTCGTCCTTGTTCAAAATGTGCCCAGGCTTTTCAACCAAATTGTTTTCCAAGATAAACACTTTCGAGTAACTGAAAGTACTCTTCCATACATCTCATGTTCATTCCCTTAGCTCAGGATACAGATACACCTTCTGATTTTCTAATAATAAGAGTAGGATTTCTTAAAAGAAAAGAGTTTAGCCAATCATAATCAGCTTTTCTAGTTTCCTTGTTGAATTTGTGAGGTAGTTTTAGCTTTTCAGTAAGTTCAAACGCCATGCTTCTCACTAAATCCCTGAAAGGCGTAAACTTATGAGCTTGTAACTTTTTTTTGTGGCCTACAATCTTCTGTTCATTTATTCTTCCTAAAATGGAGGAAAACCCTAGCTGTTCTTCGTAAACTTTTGTTTTTTAATCCTTTTTTAAGTGGTCTTAGGAATTTGATAAGCTTTAGCAGCAGCATTGACACCCGTTTCTTTATTTTTCACCGCATTAACCGCTTGCATTAATGCATCTTCCGTCCTCCTCTCTACTGGTATCCTTTCTTACGTAGTTAGTTGGCATTTTCTGAAACAGAAAAATACCAGCTACTTAGTTAGTTATTATTCTATAAGTCTTTTTAATAAAAGTAACATTTAAAAGCGTTGGACCAGTGTCCATCTCTCCCGTATTGAAATTAGTGTCCCATCTCTACCAACACGTACTGGTCCTCCTCTCCCAAAAGCCCGGGTGAGATGGACCACCTCATAATTCGCATTTTTAACGCACACATAGAGGCCTCTTTAAGTTAGGTCACTACCTAAATGTTTATTGACATCGCTAGAAGAATCCTAGGTCGATATCACCTAAACTTAAACTGAAAACTAAAACTATGTTACTACGTTAAAAGACTTTTGGACTTACCAAAACAGACAATGACGTTTTTTCGACAAATATTATTAACAACAACACCACCAGAGATATGTAAGAGAGGGGATATGACACAAACGATATTTCCGTATTTACTAAATGGGGCCACGTAATTTGACAGATTGTCTATACCAATATGGCGACGGGCAGGTCCGGATTCAAGTTAATTCAAACTGTATTTACGATTTACTGTTTAGTTTGGTAATAAGCATTGGGTTAGATTAATAATAGTTATTTGGAATAAAATTACTTTCATTTTTAGTACTTTTCAAGTACACTTTAATAATAAAATCATTACATACATAAAGTTTAAAAAAATGTACAAAGTTCAAAATATTTTTAAAATTAAATTTCTATACACAGAAGTACTCGCCGATCCTCACCAATATGGCGAACCGATCCCATCTATTTCACGGTATGTCAAATCCCCTCTCTTACATATCTCTGAACACCACACAACTAACAACATGTCTTCACTGTAACTGAAGCATACTCACAACAAACGATGGTAGCGCTCGAGTGTTACAGTTCGGAAATAATGGACTGGTCCATCTATCCCGGACTTACCCTACACCTACAATGATTGTAAAAATTACAATATTTTATATTTTAGCTCGATTCAGCTGATGAGCAAGCGGCAGCTATTAGAAGAGAATTGGACGGCAGAATGCAGAAAGTATCAGAAATGGAAAAGGTACGTATATTAATTTGATCTCTATCAAACTACTTTACTTTTAGTGCAACTCAATAAAAGAAAATGGTTAAATTTACATCTGTGCATATTTTATGGCAAATCCAGTCATAGGTATTAAAAAAATCGCTCGATAGAGGTCACCCCTTGAAGATAATTAGACTTAATATATTGTCTACTAATGTAAACCTCTTGGAATCTATAGACGGTTTGATTTTGAAGATTTTAAAATAGTGTAGATTGCAGAAGAAATCCGGTCTTTCATGAGACATATTTTACATGTGATAACAACTGCAGAGATATTTTTGTATACGCTTAACTTTTACTTTCTCTTACAGAACCGGAAGTTAATGCCAAAGTTCGTGTTAAAGGAAATGGAGTCTCTGTATATAGAGGAACTCAAGTCATCTATAAACTTGCTGATGGCGAATTTGGAGTCACTACCAGTATCGAAAGGATCGATGGATTCCAAATATGGCTTACAAAAACTTAAACGCTATAATCACAGGTTGCATAACCATAATAATCCGTATAATGTGAAGCATATTTTGATGAATTATGTTACTTCTTTTAGATCGCAAGGATCTTTAGCAAAGCTCGAAGGGGATTCCGCCGATAGTGATACACAGCTAACAAAACTAGATGTAGTGCTGACCTTTCAATTAGAGGTACGATCATTTTGAACATATACCTCTTCTAGTTTATATTTTCTAGGCCATAGCTTCCTGCTAATCGTCCTTTCGTTGGAAAATGATCGCCCACTGTTCCACCCCGCTACCGATATCGGTATTAGTCTGGCAGAAATGTCAGCCAAATTTATATTACATTTAAAACTTTTAAAAATTAAATCTAGATTTTGGTTGATATAAAACGTGATACTCAAAAGTTTTTAAACAAAATCTCCATTATGAAGTCATTATTACGACTAGAGGATTTGTCAAAAAAGACGATGGGAAAAAGATTTTGCTATTAATTGGATAAAAATCGATCATGATATTTTCTTTTAAGGATTTTGACTTCCATCTTTTATTTAAAAGTGTTTGATTTAACTGTGATCTAAATTTGAACATTTCACCCCGACTAGTACCGATATCGAGAGCAGAGCGACAGCAAACGTGTACGAATACTCTTCCTCTTTCAACCTTTCTTTCTCTGTCTCTCATCAGTTGTTATTTTGAAATAGCCACGTGTGTCTTTTTTTGTTCATTTGTTTTCTTCTCAATTTTACAACTGTGTGTGAGCATTCCTTTTTTGTTTTTACTATTACAACTATTCATTATTATTTACTTTATTACAAACGTTATTAATAGTATTCCTTATATTCTTGTTGGGTGTGAGTTGTTTCTTCGAAAGGAATATAAGTATTTTCGTATTTTTTTAATTCGATTTTTCACTTTTCGTCTTAATTTTTTTTATAAATGATCGTTCTGACATACCATGCCTAAATGTGTCTTGCCAATTGTTATTTTATAAATTCGTTTCGCCTTAACATAATATGAATTTGTATTTTATCGTGAATCGAACAACCATTTAATTTAAACCTAAAACTCGTTTAGGCGGGTCGCCTCTTCAAGGTGTGGCCTTCCTAGCCAGGGAAAGAAATGGTAAGAGCAGACGCAAGTCTGCGATTGCAGTCGTTTTAGTTATTTAGAGGATGGTTAGACGAGTGGCTTACTAAGAAGCAGGAGTCAGTCAGTATGTGTTGTTTCGTGGTGCGTGTTTTTGTTAGTGTTGAGGAAGGTTAGTGGCCATGTCATGCAGTTCTGAGGAGGTACCATTCGCGAGTTACCAGCTATACTGTGGGAACGGCTCTTTTCGATTGAGTATATTTGGCATGTAGATTATTACCATCTACGATATCATATGGGCGTTGCTTCTAGGATGTTGAAATACTCACCAGGAAGTTCGTTTTTAGCCAAGTTAAGAAGTTTGACTGGGAGGAAGGGAAATTTTCTAGCGGGGTGCCTGATGAGTATATGTCCTAGGCGGTGGCAAGAAATTTTTAGGACCTCTTTAGCTCTGATATTGGAGCTTATCTTGCTACGAAGGGTTTATCTCTTGCCGAGAGTTCGAATTCTACTCTCTGTTGTTGGTATATTCGCCAGTTAATGGATAAGTGCCGACGGATAATCAGCACGCTTTCTCATGATGTTTCTCAAGATCTTACGTTCGGTGGCAATAATGATATTTATTTGGTGGTTGTTAAGTAGGGAGAAAAGAACCGCCCTGTACTCAATAATAGGTCTAATGTAGATTTTATATATGTGGAGGAGAGTCTTACTATGTGTCCCCAAAGATTTCCCCGATATGGCTCCTAGGAGTTTAGTCCTTTTTCTCATTCTATTAAAGATTAAGAGAGAGATTAAGTTTAGTCTTCCAATTGAGGTTTTTCTGAAATAGAACACCCAAGTAGTTAACTGAACTCTGACAAGGGAGTCTAGATCCGTAGAGCTCTATCGGGTTACCATCGTCCTCAAACCGAGAGGTTCCCAGATATCTGAAGAGGATGGCTTGTGTCTTGGTTGGGTTGAGAGTGACTCTCCATTTGTTGCACCATTTGACGACTTTGTCAAGTTAGCCCTGAGCCCTACTAAATGCAGAGCGGCTCCTCATGGTTCCGTCTACTGTGCTTGAGGCGAGCAGTGCTGTATCATCAGCATAGAGGAGGATGGTTTCATTTTGATCGTAGGGGCAGGGGAGGTAGTTGTTGTATCCCGTGTATAAAATTGGAGCTAAAATTGAGATTTAAGGTACTTCAGTTTGTGGAGTAAAAGGAGTAGAGTATTGGTCGCTGATTATTGTCCGATTGGAGAGATATGAGTAGATGGTTTTTAGAAAAGTGGTTAGCAGTCCAACTAGGCGGAGTTTTCCAATAAGACCTGCATGCCAGACCTGTTCGAAGGTCTTCTGGACATAGGAATATGCTATTTTATTGTATCCAAAACAACTTATTATATGACACAGGGTGTCGCGAAAAATAGTGCATTTCTTAAAGGTATGGGTTGAGAGCACCATTTAAAACAAAAAGTCTTATATTTTTTTGTATCGTCAGCCGTTTTAAAAAAAAATTATTAATTTTAATCCATTTGATTATTGCCCATAGAAAAGCAATGTATATCCAGCAACGTTGTGCTCCTTGTCATCAATCATCGATTGTTGGGCATAATATTATGTATGATACTGATCATGTAAATTATAGGTGATTGAGAAAGAGTATATTCTAATCCTAATTAAGGTTTGTATACTGTTTTAACTTGCATGAAACATTATTATTACAATAAATCTTCAAAGTGACCGCCATCTGCACGGATCCATGCATTTATTCGACAAATCCAATTATTCTTCATATTACCATCTTCTTAAACTTCTTTTTTAATTTCATCCTGGTTGTCGTATACTAATGATTTTAGATGTCCTCCAAAAAATAAAAATCCATCATTGTATTCCGGAATTCTGGGTGGCCACAGAAGGTATCCATTTCTACCAATTAAATGACGGGAATAAGTTAGTGATGTCGAGGAAACATTTGATGTCTGGTAAAATGTGATGCAGCCTTGTCATGAAGAAATCACATTTTAAAGTGTATTTGTAAAGGTACGGCGTCAAGAAGTATTGGTAGAACATGGTGCAAAAAATTTTAGTAGGTTTCTCCATTTAATCGTCTAGTAAGTTTCTATGGGCCAATCAGATGATTACCAATAATCCAGCTCATAAATTTCCACTAATTTCTTTTTTAAATTTATCCTACGTATGCATACAGTATTGCGTCATTCCACACCAACAATTATGAGAGATAACATATCATTTCTCGTAAAATATGTTTCATCTGCACACTTGCAACACTGCAACACTGCACGAAAATTAGGGTTCTTTCACGATTTTGTTTTGAAATCATCTACAAAACCTTAACCTTCGAATTAAATCGCCTTGATGTAAAGCTTGTACTCTTTGGTAATGGTAAGGATGTAATAGTTGTTGCGTAAATGTCTTATGAACAATATTTTTAGACATGCCAACGATTCTAGCCACATATTGGGTTCTTAGTCTTGGATTATTACTGACTATATTCAAAATCGCATCTTCTACATTTGGTTTAGTCTATAGTTACTTTGTATTCTAATTAACGTAGTGTAACAACGAGCGCAACGTTGCCGGCTGTATTTTCTTTTCTGTGGACAATAATCAAATTCTCTTCTTCCTTCCACTTTCCCTTCCATTATAAGCCGTAGGATGTTGTATTTTTCTCCTCTGTAATAATATCTGGAGGCCAAATAATGCCTCCCTTATACCAAGTCCCATACGAAATCCAAATTCATTGTCGCTCAGGTTTCTTTCGCATTCTCTGTATATTCGTTGATGTACAATTTTGAGTAAAATTTTCAGAAAATGGCTCATCAGGCTAATTAATCTGAAATGTGAGCATCTATTTGCTTTATTTTTCTTGGGTACAGGTATAAATGTCGATCTATGCCAGTATTCTGGGAAGATTCCAGTGATATATATTTTGTTAAATAATAGTCTTAACATCTGAGGATTTTCTTCATTGATAAACTTTATCTCTACGTATATTTCATCTGGACCTGAGGCTTTTCGTGGCTTTGCTGTATTGATTGTTTTTGTAACTTCCGATGTTAATATATCAAGTATTGTTTCTTGTACTATATTCGTTTGTGGATCTATTCTCTTGTCATCAAACAGATCTTTGATGTATTTTTCCCACATATCTCCCACATTTTCTGGACTAGATACTATTTGGTTATTATTATCTACTAAAGTTGTAGTGATTTTTTTCTTCATATTTGTGACTTCCTTAATATTTTTGTATGCATTAAAGTAGTCATGCTTTTTTAGTAAATCTTCTAGTTCCTCACAGTTGTTGCTCATTCATTCTTCTTTGGCTTTCCTGATTTTGTTTCGGATGATTCTCTGGGTTTCTTTATATTTTTCTTCATTGCGATTTTTGTAAGATCTTCTTATGTCCATCAGTTCTAGGACTTCTTCTGTCATCCATGTATTCTTTGTTTTTCTGATGTTGTCTTGTAGTTGTTCTCTTTGTATAGTTGTGATTGTTATTCTGAAGGTATGCCAAATACTTTCTATTGTTTCTTCTGCTTCCGCGGGTGCTTCACTGAACTTTTCTTTGAGTATTTTCTCTATTTCTGCCTGTACTATTGGATCTTTAAGTTTGTCGAAGCTAGGTTTTATCTTCTCTCTCTATTTGATTTTCTTTAGTTTAATAGATTTTAGATTAATAAGTCTTATGAGCCAAGTGCTTAAAATTCTATTAAAAATACTTCACAATAGGGTATACAAAAGGTGTGAAAAAGAAGTTGGATACGATCAATTTGGATTCAGAGCCGGAATGGGGACCAGAGAGGCCTGGTTTTCATTACAAGTACTGCTGCAGAAGTGTTACGACCAACAAAAGGATGTCTTTCTATGTTTTGTAGACTTTGAAAAGGCATTTGATCGCATAAACCATAATAAAATGTTAAATTCCTTGCAGAGCATCAACTTTGATAGTAAAGATCTCCGATTAATTAAGAACTTATATTGGAGGCAGAGTGCCAAGATTAGGATCGACGATCATACATCTAGAAATATTAGTATAAATAAAGAAGTAAGGCAAGGATGCATACTATCCCCTATGCTGTTCAATCTTTACTCGGAACTACTATTCAAGCAAGCCTTGGAAAACCTTTCCACAGGAATAAAAATTAATGGAAAACCAATATCTAGCATAAGATATGCAGATGACACTGTCCTACTGGCTGATACAGACACAAACTTACAGAGGGTTATAGACCACCTTAAGGATGCTTGTCGAGAGTTTGGAATGAAGATCAACGAAAAAAAAAACAAAAGTAATGGTGATCCAAAGAAAACAGAATATCCCCTTACCTATAAAAATAAATGGGAATATTTTAGAACAGGTAAACCAATACAAATACCTTGGCTGTTGGATTAATTGCAAGCTGGACCCAGAACAAGAAATTAAAGCGAGAATTGCTCAAGCTAGGGATAGTTTCTTTAAGATGCGCGTTCTATTCTGCGATACACATATAAATATTAAATTGAGATTAAAACTTGTAAAATGTTTTATCTGGTCTGTTCTTCTCTACGGAGTCGAAACGTGGACTTTAAAAATAAAGAGCCTGAATAGAATCGAGGCATTTGAAATGTGGGTGTACCGTAGAATTTTAAAAATTCCTTGGACAGCACGAAAAACAAATGAAGAAGTACTAGCTAGACTCAATTTAGAAAAAGAACTATTGAGAACAGTCAAAAGAAGAAAAACCAGTTATTTAGGGCATTTGTTGCGCAACAAGAAATACTACATCCCTCAGTTGATAATAAAAGGCAAAATAGAAGGAAAGCGAGGAATTGGAAGAAAAAAATTGTCCTGGTTACGTAATATCAGAAACTGGACAGGACTTGGATTTGAGGAAATCTTAAGAGCAGCTGAAGATAGACAAACGTTTGCCACCATAACCGCTAACCTCCATTGATGGAGACGGCACTTGAAGAAGAAGAAGTTTAATTGAAATTTTACCAACAACAGGATTGTGGTCGGAACCGATGTCCGCTCCGGGATATGTTTTAACTCCCTTGATTCCATTTCGATAACGTTTGTCAATTAATATATAATCAATCTGGTTTCTTATTATGCTGTTTTGATTATCGCCAGGTGCTTTCCATGTATATAATCTTCTTTTTGGTTGTTTAAACCAGGTGTTTGATCATTAGATTTTCTTCTTGGCAAAATTGGACCAGTATTTCTTCTCTATCATTTCTTTAGCTCAACCCAAAGTTTCCTACTACGTCTTCGGTCCGCCCTTCACCTACTTTGACATTAAAATCTCCCATAATAATGTTTACAGCATTTTTCTTTGTGATCTTCATTAGCTGTTTGATCTCTTGACTTGATCCGTTAACTCTACAAAAAAAATATTATAACATTTTTTGGTTTGAAATGGTATACTCAGCACATACCTTTAAGGAACGCTTTATTTTGCGGGACACCCTGCATTATAATAATATTACCACTTATATTAATATTATTTTTTATTTTTCTTCTATGTTCGTTGTAATAGTCATTTTGATATCTGTTTTCGATTTTTTGTTTATTGATGTTTTTTGAACTCGAATTTGCTAAAAGAGGTTTGAGAAAAATATAATTTAAAATGGAGAAAAAATTTCACAGGAGCTCTGCGGTAAAAACGGTTAATGTAATTTAAATTACATAAATTTAGTATAAAACTCTGATATCTGATGATAAGAATAAATTGCGTATTTATTTATTGATATTTTTTATTTTTCATAATTTATTCAATCATAATTCATAATTTATTAAGGAGCGCACACCGCATTCAATCACGATTGAAATCGTGTCGTTGTCTGTCTGCCCGTCCAGCCGTCAGTCCTTTTATATGATAACTTTTGAAGGAAAAGTCCAAGAGTCTTAACATTTGGTGCATAGATTTCTACTAGTATTAGAAGGATCATATTAAATTTTGAATTTAATATGTCTTCTTTTTCCTTTCATATTCGCTTACCTTGTTTTTTTTTTAAGGAAAAGCTCTTCTGAAACTTGGTATATACATACTTACTTAGTGTAATAAACAACACTATTGCATTTGGGGTAAATATGTCTTCTTTTTATATTATTATTTTTTTTTTATTTTCTGAGAGCAAAAACCGAAGAGTCATGGAAATTGGAAATTGAATTTTGGGCCGATATGTGTTTTTTATATTGTCATATTCTTGTAGCTTTTTATGTGTCTAACTCAATTTCTCCACTGATTTATTTCATTTTTCGAATTAATGCATGACATGTGTTGTCAAGGGATTTTATTCTACATACATTAGGATTAAATATGTATTGATATAACTATTTCGGAATTTTTATTCGATTTCCTAGGTAATAGTAATGGAAGTGAGAGGGTTAAAGTCTTTAGCAACAAATCGTATAGTATACTGCACCATGGAAGTGGAAAACGGCGAAAAATTGCAAACCGACCAAGCAGAAGCTTCTAAGCCCATGTGGGATACCCAAGGAGACTTTTGTACCACTCACCCTCTACCCATAGTTAAAGTAAAATTATACACTGAAAACCCTGGTATGTTAGCACTAGAAGACAAAGAGCTGGGAAAAGTTATATTGAAGCCAACTCCACTTTCATCAAAGGTAAAATCATACAATATTTTAATAAAAACAAAAGACACCTTGAAAATATCTACAACTTACATGGTGTAGTTAATATGAAGTAAGCCAAGATTTAAATAATTTATTATAATAAAACACCTTTCTATATTTTGCTGCTTAATACTGCACTACTGTTATGCGTTTTCAACACACAACTGTGTCTTTAATTCTCAACATACTGTGTAATAAAACAGTCGCTAATTATTTAACGAACTCATAGCTTTTAACTTTTTAGTGGTAAATACTCAGTTTTGTCTATGGTAAGTAACCTATCTTCATTTTAACTGCCCTAGGTGCTGTAAGCAACGGAATTTAATTCAAAAGCTTACATTTTTCTCCCCTTAGACTGTTATACTCTATTATTTATTTTCATTGTGAAAAATATCTAATAAGATGCGGCGGCGTTGTTGCCGTGAAGAGATTTAAGCACAATACCTTAAGGGTTGTCTACAGTTTGATAGAGATTGTGTTTCCACTATTATTGAATATGATTTAGTTCTTTCATAGTAATCTGAACTAATCGTTCATTTTTTTGATATGATGACAGCATTTATGTTTCAGTTTACAAATAGATTACTCATTGCTCATCACCATTCTTATTGCTTTTATCTCAGCTAACTGTTCTCATTTTTCCACAACATGAATTCGTTGTCCTTTTTTTATTAACTACCCAACATTCAATACCGTACATCAAATAGGGTTTTAGGGCAGTTTTACAGATCATAGTACATATTTTCATGGTGTAACTAAGATCACTGAAATGCCTCAGACCGACACTAGGACGACGTCAGATGATATCATTAATGGAAAAAGACGAAAATGAAATCACAACTAGAGAAAACATACTGACACGAATAGAAGAATTTTACACAAACTGTACCATTAAACAGGGAGTCAAACAGGGAGATACTTTATCACCCAAACTGTTTACCTTAGTTTTGGAGGACGTTTTTAAAAACCTAAATTGGAAATATAAGGCAATAAACATCAATGGCCCCTACCTCAGTAATCTACGATTTGCAGATGACATAATTCTGATAGCTACTGACCTACAAGAAATGCAAACCATGCTTTTAGAACTACATACCGAATCTTCTAAAATAGGACTGAAAATGAATTTAAACAAAACAAAAGTCATGCACTCCGAAGACACCGTGACAGTAATAAACGATAAAGTTATAGAAAAAGTTAAAGAATATATATACTTAGGACAAAAAATAATACTAAATAGGGAAATTCAAATTGAAGAAATAAAAAGAAGAAGAAAGTTAGCTTGGGCAGCATTCGGTAAACTGAACTATATACTCAGAGATCAACAAAATCAATTACATCTTAGATCTAAAGTTTTTGATGCATGCATTATTCCGATATTAACTTATGAGGCACAAATATGGATAATCACAAAAAAGAATATGAATATACTTAGAGTCACTCAACACGCGATGGAAAGAGCAATGCTAGGTATATCACTTAAGGACAAGAAAACAAACACATGGATAAGACAGAAAACCAAAATCACCGATGTGGTGCAAAAATCATTAAAGTTGAAATGGGAATACGCTGGACATTAGTAGTTAGGAGCGATCTAAACAAATAGCACAGATCAATTTTAACCTGGAGACCATACCAACACAAAAGACCCAGAGGCAGACCTCCTATGAGATGGATAGATGATCTGCTGAAAAGGACTGTCGGGAAAAACTGGCTACAAGTAGCGTACAATAAAAAACAATGGAAAGGAAGACTTGAAGAGGCTTATGTTCAGATGTGGACGTGAATGACTAGACGAAGAAGAAGAAGAAGAAGAAGAACTAAGATCATTTATGCCCAATAATGTGTATATTGTTAAACATTTCCTTTTTTTGTGTTTACATATACTAACCTATTGCTTCTCCATTCATCTGTTTATAAGAATATTTGCCCTAATTCACAAGGAAACTAAATTCCTGTAGTTGGCTGTATACAATGTATCAGAAAAATTTTTATTTAAAAAATTCTTTTATAAAAGGTATATTAATAGAAAAAGCTTATCAAGCTGCATCACAGAACGTTTGTTAAATAACAATTCTATCATCAGTGCTATCCTAAAATAAGTATAACCACTTTAATTAAAGCAAACGTGAATATTAAAATTTTGACCAAGGTTATTACAAAATGTGGTTTAATACTTTACTGGATTTACATGTTAGAAGCCACTAAATATGTGGGTAAAAACCCTTTATTAGACCCTTAAAAAGGTAATGTAACTACACTAAAAGAGTTTTTACCCACATATTTAGTGGCTTTAAACATGCAAATCCAGTAAATATTAAACCACATTTTTGTAATAAACTTGGTCAAAATTTTAATTTTCACTTTTGCTTTAATTAAAATGGTTATACTTATTTTAGAATAGCACTGATGATAGAATAGTTATTCCGAAAACGTTCTGGAATGCTGCCCGAAAGGGTTTTTATATTAGTATAACTTTTATAAAACAATTAAAAAAAACAATTCTCGAATTCTTAGAAACAGACCTGATAGTCAACTTGTTATTGTTTTCTCTAATATTGTTTATACTTCTCCAGGGGTAACATTATTCAAATGACTGATTCATTATTTTCTGTAGTGCTTTTGCAAATTTCTCGTTTGTTAATTTTGCGACCATGTCATCCCTGCCTAAGTATAAGGTGGGTAAGGCATGTATTGCGGATGGAACAAAATGACCCAGTTAGAAAAACGCTGTCTGATAGACTCATTGATCAGAGAAGAACAGGAAACCCCAGAACAAGGTTATATGATAACTTCGATGAAGATATGACAAATATGGAAATACGTTCTTGGCGGAGGAAGGTGATGAATAGAGACGACTAGAGTGAAATTCTTGAGGAATCTGGGATCCATATAGGGTTTAAAGCCTGTACGAAGATAATGTTATCACTGGCAGTACACATTGATCGAACAGTTTTGTTTTTAATTGTTGGAGAATATTCTAATTTGTTAGGATGTGTTTCCCCAGTTTTCCACTGATTTTTTGTGGCCTAAATGAATACTCCAATCATAAACTCGACTTTTTTCTCACACCGTGATATATACAAAGCAACATGGATTATGCCTGGTGGAATAATCGCCAATCACATCAATCATGTCTTGATAGACAAAAGGGGTACAACAAGCTTACAAGTGTGAAGTGTGGAAGATGTGTACAGATAAAATGTAGATGCAGAATTCAGAGAAACAGAAGGGACCAACAGGAAAAAACAACAGAAGAACTAGACATACAAAAATTAAGAGAAGATATCAAACAGAACTATGAGACAGATATAACACAAATACTGATAAATAAAGGCAGTGTAGGCACCGAAGAAAATTTGAAAGAAACCAAAACAAAAGTAATTGAAGCAGCAATAAAAAAAACAAAGAGGAGAACGGTTCAATGACGAGTGTAAAAAGGCCATACAGAAAAGAAATCAAATACATAAAAAATATTTAAAAAAAAAAACAGAGAAAGAGGAGCTAGAAAACGGCAATAGACAGAAAATGGAAGAGAATCTTTAAAACAATGATAAAAGAGAAGCGTATAAATATCTACGCAATTTAACAGACGGATTCAAACCCAAAACATTGGACCTACCTCTTTTAATTTTTCTTCTAGTTCTGTTACCATTGTTTTCAGATGATTCGCTTTCTGCAAGTAACACTATAATCATCTGCGTATCTTAGATTGTTGATACAATTGTAAACACAGACAGAACTATTGTATATTTATTTTGCTCCTTATTTTTTTCTTTAAAACTCATGTGAGTTTTTTGCTGAATATTGTTCACAGAAGTTATTCGGAAGCTTTTTTCTTGTGACATTTAAATATTATTTATTATCTTTAATAGAAATTAAACAGATGGCTAGATCAGAGAACAAAGAAAAGAGATGAACGAAATAATAAAACTGAGACACATTCAGATGGAAACATGGCCACATTACTTTTGATCCATATTTGCTAAAGGTGACGATAATGAACCACCAAGACTAGAAGTGACGACAAACAAAGAAATAAACATTGAAGAAGAAGAAGAGGTTAAAGAAGCATTAAGAAAATTAAATAATATAAAATCACCAGGAGAGGACGACACAATAGTGAACGAACTCCTAAAGTAGGGAACCAGATCTAACCAAACAATTAATAAAACTGATCCAAAAAAGAATAGAATAAAAAAGAATACAACAAGAATGGAAATCAACCTCTCTTCAAAAAGGGAGACAAATCCGGAGAACTACTGAAGAATTAGCTTCGTAAATACAACACTAAAATTAACAACCAAAGTAATAACAATGAAAAATAGAAAAATCAATGGCAAGACACTGTGAAACAGAGCTAGAAGTAAAAATATACGAGATAGATACAAGGTGGAGAACATCAAGGACTGGATAAGAAATAGAAGAGTGGAATGGAACGATCATATAAGCCGCCGAATGACAACAAATAGGGTAGTAAAGACGGCGAGAGACGGTTCCCAAAAGAAAGACGATCAGTGGGAAGACTACGAAAACGATGAAACGACAACCTATTGGAGGCACATTCAAAAACAGACAGAGTCATGTTTATAGAAAAAGAAGAAAAATAATAGGAATTAACCGCAATTTGAGTTAAAAATAAGTTTATAAAATACTGTATTTTACTCATTTTTCTGAGTTCTAAGTCTATGATGGGTTAAGTTTTTAGTCTAGAAGCCAGGGGGGTCGAGTACGCACCTTCGAGCACCGGTCGAGTACGTACCTTTATGTTTTTCTATACCTTTTGGTAGGTGTATTCGATTTTTCGAGGGTATCAGGCCAAAATCCCGTCAGATAATTTGTTATTAACAATTTAATTGTTTACATAATTTTATCTCCTAAACTATTAGAGATATTTAATTTTATCAAAATAAAAATGGTTCCTTTTAAGAAAATGACTTTTGGTAAACTTTGATCCGATTGCTTGAACCAGAGTTATAAAAATTTTGCAA